CTTGGAACCGTACAAAGAGACGGCTAATGGCCGGTTTTTCTCCGTCCCCTTGGAGAAGGGCTCGACTTGGTCGGCTGATCGGCTCGGCCTGCCTTACCGTAGGTCTATAAATGCGAGTCGTGTATGGTGCAAGATCCGACAACACTTTTTTATGAGGGTGGCAATGGGTGGGTTCCGGACGGACCCGGACGGGACCCAAAAAATATGGCAGTCAGACCGGATTGGGCCCATTTGGACTTGAATTTAGATCTGGACCTAATTAGATCATACTCAAAAATAAAAATATATATTTAAAAATAATTAAATATTTTTTAATCTAATTACGTTTAAATACAATTTTAAATATATATACGAGTTGTTTAAATATTATAATTTAAATATATAGTTACATTTAAATATTATTTAAATATTATATATTAAATATTATTTATACAATAACACTATTCGGGTTGGGTTGGGTTTGGATATGATCCACATGGGCCCAGACCCAACCCAACGAGTCCAATTCTTCGACCCATACCCGGACCTAGGTCAGGTCCAAATATTGGGTCCCAGGTCGGGTCGGGTCCATTGTCACCCCTAGAATTATCCATGTTTAAGTCGGAAAAAATTTATATAAAGTTGTAAAAAGCAAAGTTGTAGTAATCTTTTATTTTATTAAGATGGTGTAAACTATGATAAAATAGGTGCCATTGTTTAATATTTTCTTAGAGGACATGTCAATCTATATTGTCGAACTAAAATAAATGGTGGAAAACAAAATATCACAACATTTGGCAACCTTATATAAACAGGACCTAGAAGCATTTATAGGTAAGCTAAATGATATGTTTTCCATGCATGAGCATACTATCTATAGAAAGAATCAATCTTAAGAAAGAAAATGTTTAAATCACATGGGACATGTGCTTTGAAAAAATAACTTATCGAGATTATTTTTTTTTTGGGATAAGTCAGTGGGGGGGCGGGGAGGAGAAGGTACCCTACCCATTTGTCATTAATAAGTAAGAACTAAAAAGTTTACAGCTATTTACCATAAAACCCTAGAACAGGGCACATGTGCCAAATCATCAGTTACAGCAAAACAAATAAAATCCGGCAGACGAGAACGCCAAACAGTAGCTATTTGATAAGATGTAGCGCTCTTTGCAAGAATATCAGCCACCATATTGACTTCACGAAAGATGTGGGAAATGGACCACCCACATTTAGAGAGAAATTTTCGACAATTTACTGCCACCGTATGTAACTTCCATGGAGGTCGTCCGCGTTTATGATCATCTAATTTTCGAAGGACAATGTCTAAATGTTGAAGAACTCGAATTCATTTTTCTTTTTTCTTTTGTATATCAATAAAGTCTAATTATTCTTAATTGGATCCAAAAAACTAAAAAAATAAACTACAATAATATCTCTTTTGTCCAAGAGAGTTAATGTCCAGTATGCTCTCAAGGGAACGTGCCACATGCGCCGTATACGTTATTGGAAGTAATGGCCAATATGCACTGTGTTATACAAATTGAAGGGTATGGCGTTGCATGCTGTATTATATACTTATAATACTGCAACATATTTTAATAGGTATTGGTGTGTTGTTTGGGCTCCAAACTCATTTAATTTTACCTTATTGGTTATTAGGCTGAGAATAATGTCACATATTAATATTTATTATCATATTGTAATAAATATGTTACAATAAAAATTAAATAAATTACAAATACAACGAGTCTTGGATTGCCCTATAATATTTGTCATCGATGTATATGGTATGCTTTCCGATACCGTACTCATTATCCATGTGAAAGGAATTGATAACATAGGAGAGTTTGCTTCTTTTGTTAGTATAGAGAAAATATTACCCCCATTCGTCATGTATGTTCATTCTTGGTAAATGACGATTGTTGTGCTTTTCATCCAGTCAAATAAGAAAATAAATTTTAAGGTTGTTTAATTCTCACATGGATTTTAATGAATAATTAATGTTATATTTACATGATACAACATTTATTGTGCATGCCGCTATCTTTGATTGTCAGATGTGAAATTAATATTAACGGGTGGACAATTTGATTATACTCATGATTTTTTTTTAAAGTTTGGTAATGTCCTATTAACTATCCAATTTTTACAAGAGATAGCCAAGGATAATTATGATCCCGTAGAGATTGCATATGGCCTTGTGGTATACAATACCTTAACCGTGTTTTAGAAATTATCCAGCCAACCCAAAACCTAAGTCGCCAGGAAATCAACACTCTAACCGGTTCACCCTAAAACTCATGTTTTTATGCATAAAATCATTGTTTTTAGATGTAATATGATAATCTTGTTAAATTTTTGAAATTTACCAAAATCTAAGATTTACATTCCTTTTAACTTTGCTTCGCCGATCTAGCTCGGAACTGGAGGGCTCAACCCACGGGTTCATAGTATGCTACCATTTGTTTCCTGGCAACAAACTTGATGGGGTCATAATCAAAGGCATCAAATTAGTTATTTAAATGTATGAGAACCAGATGAGAGTAATAAGCATACACATTTGTTAGTAGGCAAGTTGGATTACCCTTTGGAAATGAAGGCAGATACAATGGATGTTAAAATGAGGCTATAAACTTCGCGAGTCGAGCATTATCTAGAGTATAAACCGATGGATCATATTGTTGCATACAACAACCTAATGCATAAATGCTGTCCATCCAACCAAAAAGCAACTTATAATAAATTAAAAACAATGAAATGGAACATCACTCTTTCTTGGAAGTCCATTCAAGTTTTCACAAATACTCGGTGATTTAAACTACGGATCGGTGACCTGGTTCGGGCATCGTAAAAATTGGTCCGAATTGGTGAATCCACAATCCGTGCCGACCCGGCATTTTTTAAATCACTACAAATACTTGATCTGCTCTATTTTTTAAAAGTCAAATTTCATAATTTGGAAAAAATAGATTCTCAAGCCATCATTTCGGATTTCTTACTGAAGAACTAGTCTTTTTTTTTTTATGGGCTTATATGATATGCTTTTACTTTGCACTTAATAGAGAAGAAGTCGTTGTTGCTTATGAATAAAATAAATAACCAAAAAAAGATGTGGTTGCGTAAGAAACCTTAAACAATTAAAGGCCCTCCGAATTTTGTTATAAGATAAAATTTTGGTGTCGAAATTTTTAGATTGACCCGAGAATCGATATTTATCTTTATAAAATTTTAAACTTAAAAATGGTTCAAATCAAACACTTATATAAACACATGAAATTTTTTAAAATAGATTGTAAACCTTATATGAACCTTTTTTAATGCAATTGTGAAGTGCGTCTTAATTCTTCGATACAAAGTATTAACCTTATATAATTTTTTTCCTAAAAAATATTGGCAACTTTTAAGAACTAAAACAATTGATTAGGAAAATGTTAGTCCAGATCAAGAATCGGCATCGACTAACCCAGTCCCTAACCACGACAAAGACTCAATCCAATTTTGATAGAATCGCTATTAGAAAACCAAATAATCTTCCATCGAAATCCATACGATCCAGAATGGCCGCTCTCAATCACAACCCCTGTGTTTATATCATATTTTTATTTTTCAAACAAAGAAAATCGTCGTTGTCTAAGTGTTATCCCAACAATTTAGAGTTGTTAACACAAATTATGGTCTTATCCCAACAATTGGAGGTGTTAAACAATTATCTTAATCCAGAACTTTAAAAATAGGAATAATATCTCCATACACTCTGTTTTTAGGTTAATTTCTCAATAGACCAAGGTTTCATAGAGATTCATGTATTATATTTTCTAAACCTCTAGATCAACTTTACACACTTTGACTTATCTCTTTAACCAAAATAAATATTAAATATATATGCCTTTCTCGATGCCCTTTTCTCTCTTCCCATGTTTTTCCCATGGCTTTTTTTCTTCTTTTTTTTTCATATATTGGTGGTTAGGAGAGAGATTTTGGGGAAAGACTGTACAGAAGGAGGTTTGGGGAGAATCATGGGAAAGAGAAGTTCAAGGAGAAACATTGAGAGAAAGGGTTTAGAAAGGCATGCTTTTTTAACATTTGTTTGTGCTAAGAAGATGAGAGAAAATGTTTAGAAAGGCATGCTTTTTTAACATTTGTTTGTGCTAAAAAGATGAGAGAAAGATTTGAGAAAAACATGCTTTTTAACATTTGTTTGTGCTAAAAAGATGAGTCAAAGTGGGTAAAGTTGGTTTAAGATTTACATACAAATGTTTTGAAACATTGAGTCTCTCAAGAATAAAATCGAAAAATAAGATGTATTGAGATATTTTCCCTTAAAAATAATATTTAAGTTTTTTTCAACCGGTGCGATTTGTATAAGGTTGCCTCCTTATATTATAGAAGTAAGGTGCGACAATAAAGTATACTTAGAGATGTTGTTTCGGTGTTGAAAACCTTAGGATGGCTTCAAAATCTCGTTTTATCCTCAATTATCAAATTTAAAATTACAAAAATGGTACAAAATGAGCAGATCACGAAGCACTTGAAAATAGACGGACTATATTACTTGTTACAGATGCATTATTTTTTGGATTGTGAATTCTCTTTTTTTTTCTCGATATCCGTTAATCTCAAGGTTGAGATGATTAGTGGGAGGGTTCTCCTGTGCCTGAACGGTCTCCAATACATAATTTTGAGGTGTACCTTACTTCAACAGTACAAGGTTGCAACCTTATATAAACTTTTTCCTTTTTATTTCGCTGACCAGCCTCCGGATCCAAGTTAAAAACAGTGACTAGAATGAAAGAACTCTTTATTTAAAAAATAAAGAAAGGGGAGAAAATATTATTAAAAGAAAAAAAAAAAAAAACACAAAGGCGCCAAGCCAAGCTACTCTCCAACGGAGCCACCAACCATTCCCCACCACCGCCGCACTCCATTGACGTCGTCAAATCTAACGCCGTCAAGGGAGAACTAATTCGTCATTAAGTTAATTGTTCGGGACCTCCAAAGCCCTATAAAACCCTGAGAACCTGCCCTCAAACACCAGGTCCTTATGTACCTGCCCATTCCCGCCATTTTATCACCTACTCATCTTCGCAATTCCGGCAAGATCTCAAATTCCCGACCGACCAACCCTAGATCATCGGTATCGGTTGCAGGTAGCAACCTCCATTTTCGGCTATTTCAACCAGAGTCTCAGCGATTCGCCGGAACTGTTAACTCGCCCGATTCTGTTACTAAAAACAACGTGAAACCGCCACTTCTGGCGAGGAAATGGACCTGCTACTCGCTGAGAAGGTCCTTTTGGGCCTCTTCGTGGCCATAGTGACCGCCATTACTGTCTCCAAGCTCAGGGGCAAGCGCCTCCGGCTGCCTCCTGGTCCCCTGACCATTCCCATCTTCGGAAACTGGCTCCAAGTCGGCGACGACCTGAATCACCGAAACCTCTCCGATCTGGCCAAGAAGTTCGGCGATGTCTTCCTTCTGAGAATGGGGCAGAGGAACCTGGTTGTTGTTTCTTCTCCTGATTTGGCCAAGGATGTTCTCCACACGCAGGGCGTCGAGTTTGGATCGAGAACCAGAAACGTCGTCTTCGACATCTTCACCGGTAAAGGCCAGGACATGGTTTTTACAGTCTACGGCGAGCACTGGAGGAAGATGAGGCGTATCATGACTGTTCCTTTCTTCACAAACAAGGTGGTTCAGCAGTACAGGTATGGCTGGGAAGACGAGATCGGACGGGTGGTCGAGGATGTACGGAACAATCTGGCAGCTCAGAAGGAGGGAGTCGTCCTGAGGAAGCGCCTGCAACTGATGATGTACAATAATATGTACAGGATCATGTTCGATCGGAGGTTCGAGAGCGAGGACGATCCCCTCTTTGTGAAGCTCAAGGCCTTGAATGGAGAGAGGAGCAGACTGGCTCAGAGCTTCGAGTACAACTATGGCGATTTCATTCCCATTCTGAGGCCTCTTCTCAGAGGTTATTTGAAGCTCTGCAAGGAAGTGAAGGAGAGGAGACTGCAACTTTTCAAGGACTACTTCTTGGAGGAGAGGAAGTGAGTTTTTCTCTGCAAAAACTGTGATTTCATTATCTCATTATTCGCCATTTTTGCTCTCTTATTTTTATTGCTCTCCTCGTTCACCATTTTTTCACATTTTCTGGTTTTGTTTTCGACATCTTTTTTTGGCAATTTTCTCAATTTTTTGTCTTGTAAAATATTTTGGCTCTTTTCTCTGGTTTCTCGTATTGTCCTTTTCTCATTTTGCTTCATTTTTTCCTTAATTTTTAACGCTTTTTGGTTAAATTTTTTTTGTCTTTTTCCCATGTTTTGTTGTTTTCTCTCGTTTTATGCCATTTTTTCTCAAATTTGCGAGAACCTTCCTCACTTTTGTCATTCATCTCAAATTTTGTCCTTTTGTCAAAAATTTTGGCTGTATCATCGATTTTGAGCTTAGAGCGACAGAGATGGGAATTAAGGTGTAATTTGAGTTTCCGGACAACAGCTACATTTCCGTAAGTATGAGAGAGACGAGAATTAAGGTGACAGGAAATTGAGTTTCCGGCCAACAGTTACATTTCCATAAATATGGTGGTCTTTCATGGATAAGACCTTTTGAACTTCTGATACGTGTTTTTATGACAAGATCATTGAACCTGTAATTTAAACTCTTCGTATCCTTTTTTTTGGTTTTCAAATCATAAATACAAAGATTCGAAATCGGCCCATAAATAGACTGAAAGAGGGATTAATTTTACCCGCTTTTAACTATCTTTTTTTAGCTTTTTTAAATATTAAAAAGATATACTTATTCTAAACCCTTTTTCTTGTATACTTTTCCTAATTTTTCTCTCTGATATTCACCCTATTTGTCTCTAGATAGGGGAGAAACATGACGGAGTGAGTGAAAAAATAGGTAGAAAGAGATTTAGGAGAAAATCTTGTGAAGAGAGAGAAATAATGATGTTTAGAAAATATATAATTTTTTTATATTTATTTGGAAAAAAAAAAAAGAGTTTAAAAGAGATAAAGTTCACTTGAACGGTTAAAAGATATAAAATTTAAAATTGTTGTTCCGAAACCTTGAGTTTATTAAGATATAAACTTAAAAATGCAGGTGCCGAGATATTTTTTTTATTTATATTCTCATATTTATGTTCTCAAGGAAGCACGAGATCATTCGGCTTTTGATCAATCTGTTCGTATTTGGCCCTTGACGGGATTTTGTCCACTGATCCACTTTCTCGTAGGAATCTGATGTCATTTTTGTCGAATTCTTTCTTTTCCTGGTCTTTTCCTTACCGGGATCTGAGTATCCAGCAATTAAGATCTTACCTCGTGGAATTGAGTTTGGTTTCTCGGACAGGAAACAAGCGTCGGAATCTCAAATATTTTCAAATTGATCATCTTGGCCTACGACTCATGGACGTGAGAAAAAAATGGATTTCTAGTTTTGGAAATAGTGCATCTTGTAATGTATTTTTTTGGACGGTTAATTTTCAAGATTTTTAGTTATCATAGATATGGTTGATCTACATTATTTTTTAAGCTTTAAATTTTATAATTAGAGAAAATAAATTTTAAAGCTATACGACATTTTTTGATACTATTTGGAGGTGCGCCTTAGTTTGATTGTTTAGGGCTTTTGCCTTGTATGCGTTAGTGGGAATAGAATATCAAATATTCTTAGATCGTACCTTTTTAGAAATGATTAGTAGTTAGTTTTGGATGCGTTAGTGGGAATAGAAATTTAGATTAGTAGCTTAGGCTTAAATGGTGCTACCGCAACTAGCATTAGGCTATTTGTTCTATATTTTGAGGGCATATTAGACAATTTTGTCATGTAAATCCTTTTTCTCATCCTCTCTTGTCCGAAATCCGAAATGGAGAAATTAGGACTTGGACGCGATTTCTAATTCAAAGTGGAGAAATTTAAGACTCGGATGTAATTTTTATGCGGCCACGCCGACATGAAACAAGTAACCCATTTACTTTTTGTACAATGTCACAGTTCATTTAAGTTTCAAAATGGGTGGTTGTAAATTTGTTATTAAATAGCCACAAAATTATTAAAAAATATTCTAGAACTTAATGATTCACCCCAAACTGTCTTGACATCTAATAATAACCGGGAATGGTTGACATCTTTCTAGTAAAGATAAATAGATAAATAGTCTCTTTGGGGATAATCCCTTTAAAGCAAAAATATATAGATAAATCACTTATTGAATCAAATATTTTTTTACTAAACTCCTAATAAAGGATGCATACATATGTTTTAATATATTTTTATGTTTCTTAAGATAGTTTATGAACTTTCTTTATTACATGCTCTATTTTATTTATTTATTTATTGTTTTTATAGATTTTCTAAAAAAATTTGAAGCTATAAGTCACTTTTTTTTTATGTGCTGTCTTCTATATACTTTTTCTTTTTTGGACTTTTAATGTATTTTATAACTTCTTTAGCGTTTTGCCTTTTTTATTTTTAAAAATTATATTTTTTTAGCTTTTCTTGAGTTTTTTTGAGCTTATATATGATGCCCACTAAGTACTCTGCTTTAGCCGAATAATTGAGCATTTATTTACGATAAGAGCGCACATGCTATGCTCCTGTTAATTGAGGAGTATTTATTGATTAAGCACTATAAAAGCATTAATATATTTCCATTGATTGGCGATTACTCATGATAAAAAGGTGAAAAATGTAAAATAGTTTATGATTTGTTTTGAACTTTTGTTTATATTTTATAATACAGGAAGCTGGCCAGCACTAAAGGGTCCTCAGGGGATTTGAAGTGTGCGATTGATCACATTTTGGACGCTCAAAAGAAAGGCGAAATCAACGAAGATAATGTCTTATACATAGTGGAGAACATCAATGTTGCAGGTATATATATATATATATATATATACATATATAAATTATTAAATATTTAATAGTATGCCTCTTTTCTCAATATATAGTTTCAGTCACTTTCGTTGGTTCTTGAACTTTCCTTTTTTAGAGAGAGGGAGATTGGGAATGGGGATTGAATAGAGAGAGATTGAGAATGGGCATTGAAGAGAGAGAGAGAAGAGATAGGATCAGAGAGAGAAATGGGAGATATTTTAGACACAAAGTAGAAAGATATGGAGCTTTGATTGTGAGATGTAGAATAGATGAGGTAGGTTAAGGAGAGAGACGTAATTTATGCTTTGGAAGTGGACCGCTTATTTGTGCATGAGAGAGAGAGAGAGAGAGAGTGAGGCAACTGAAAATCTATAGGCCGTCAAAAAGAAATTAACAAGAGGAAGCACTAACGTAGAAGAACCATTAAAACTAAACAAGAGATAATAATTTTCTCTCTACGATAAAGCTTTTTTCATTCAATCAAAATATATAATTTTCCGCCCCTAACTTTTTATGAGGGTTTTTCTAACCTCTTAGTCTTATCTTTTCCTTTTTTCTGAAAAAAACTCATTTTCTCAAAGATTGGCTTCGTCAGAGAGGGATTTTATTGAAGTGATTTGCCAGGAGGAAGGGCCCACCTATTTGTTTTCTTGCCTGTAGTCCGTAGAGCAAGGAAGTGATGGGGAGAGATAAGAGGGAGGTGGGGAGAGAGGGAGAGGGAGAGGGAGAGGGTGGGGGCCTAGCTAGGTACGCTCCAAAAAGAGGCCTAGTCTCAATAGAGAAGAAGGTTTAGAGAGAGCAAGCGACAAAAACAAGAGAGAGCGAAACGAAAAGGGTCGCAGTAAAAGACCGAATCCAGTATTCCCATCCTCGTTCCAATTCTCAACTAACTGTCCTGTAAAATCAGAATCGGGTACTGCCCCGATTCGGTTGATTTTTGGTGGTCCGGTATTTAAAAAAATAAAAATATGTATAAAATCAAGGCCAAACACCCACACCATTTCTAACACTCTTCTTCTCTCTAACCCACAGCTATCGAGACAACCCTGTGGTCCATCGAGTGGGGCATAGCCGAGTTGGTGAACCACCCCCACATCCAAGCCAAGCTTCGGGCCGAGCTCGACTCGGTGCTTGGACCCGGCGTCCCAATCACCGAGCCCGACACCTACAAGCTCCCATACCTTCAAGCTGTGATCAAGGAGACCCTCCGCTTTCGAATGGCGATCCCGCTCCTCGTGCCTCACATGAACCTCCATGATGCCAAGCTCACAGGCTATGACATACCAGCTGAGTCCAAGGTTCTTGTCAATGCTTGGTGGCTCGCTAACAACCCTGACAACTGGGTGAGGCCTGAGGAGTTCAGGCCTGAGAGGTTTTTGGCAGAGGAAGCTCGAGTTGAGGCTAATGGAAATGATTTCAGGTGTGTTTTCTTTCCAATAAAAATTTGAAATTTTTTATGGAGAAATTTACTTTATTCTTTATAATTATTGGTCTAAAGAAAGAGCCGAAAATTGCTGTATGCTTGGGTACTAAGTCACACAATTGAGGCATAAAAACATCTATTTTACAGATGGGAACTAATTCATACATTTCCTCTGATTCCAATTTGCCGACTCAGGCAATATTCGTGTCAAATTGGAACAAAGAAATGCTAGGATGATCGCGGTGATTCCAGGGATCCTCAAACCGGAATCGTTGAGGTTCATTATCTCGATCTAATTGAAGCGATTTTGAGGCGAATTGACGATTTTTAAATCACTTACCTTTGACAACAAGATCTCAAATATATGTTTTTAATGTATTTTAATGGATTCTCTGACTCTATTTCTTATTATTATTTTGTTTTTTTGTTAGGTACTTGCCCTTTGGTGTTGGAAGGCGTAGCTGCCCTGGTATCATATTGGCTCTGCCTATATTGGGTTTGACCCTGGGAAGGCTTGTCCAAAACTTTGAACTCTTGCCTCCTCCAGGCCAAGACAAGGTGGACACTACAGAGAAGGGAGGCCAATTCAGCCTGCACATTCTCAAGCACTCCACTATAGTGGCCAAGCCTAGGGTCTTCTAAAAATAAAATTGTTGAGGCCTTGCTACTCTCTCTCTTCAAAATGTTTTTTAAGTTATCTTGTACTGAGTTGTGCTTCATTTGGTGGTCTTCATGTTGTAAAAACTTTTGGTAAATTTGAACTATTGTGATGAGATTACGGGCTCTTTTTACCCTTTGGACAAATATTTTAATATCTGATATTATCATAGTATTTTATTTTGGTTGGTGTCCTGTGTTGATATGTTAACTGGTGTTGACATTTAATGACATCCGACTCTATAACAAACACTCAAATCAAGAGATGGAACCGATGTTGGTCCCATCACCTTCCCGCCTCTTTTGGCTTCTAAATAAAAAATGACGTCTTTCAGGACATGCATGTTTTCTAAAAGGGTGTGAGCTTTAGAAACTGAACTAACTCCAACTCTTTAACTTAGAAGGGTGTGGTTTCCATAACGATGCAACCTTTAACAATCTAATTAATTATAATTTTGATAAAAATATTTTTAGGATTATTTTAAAATCTATTTTTGTATTTAATTGTAAAATTTTAAACACTAAAAATAATAAAGATCAAGTAGATTTATAAACATATGAAAATTTTGAAAATGAACGGTCTAGATAGTGCGTTGTCAGATGTATTATTTTTGAGACTCAAATTTTTTTTTATTTTATTTCATAATCATACATCACAATGTCAAGATGCTCAATTAAATGGCTTTTCAACATTAAAGCAACATTTTCCTATGAAAATTCAAGGTGCATTTGTAGTTCAAGGTGCATTTGTAGTTGTACATTTTAAAGTCGCGACTTTATATAAACTTTTTCCAACCAAAAATATTAAATTTTAGTTTTCTCTCTACTAGGGAACTCTGACAATAAATTTTTTTTAATGTTAATACAAATTTTCGGACTCGATCGATCCTCGTGGCAGTTTCAAATATACGCATGTGGCATTTGGTGAGACTACGCCACGAGTTAGTGTGGAGGTAAAACATAAAAGAAAGGTTGGTGCGGTTTAGAAAGGGAGCGGCTCAACAACTATGGGTAGGGTAGGATAGGTGAGGTTCGTTAGGTGAATTGTTACGTTAGCAACGTTTCAAGCTTGTCCTACACAATTTCCCACGTTGATAGTATATTGTTTGACACGTTACGGCGTGAAGTAGATGGATAAGTTGACGAGTCGACGCGGTCCGTATTCAATGTTATTTGATTTGATTCGCCTTTGGATTAACACCTAGACCGTAGTGAAGCCAAGCTATAGTGTATCAGCCCCAGCTTGCTTTGGGTCGTTTCGGCCTGCTTCGATTTGATTGGGCCTCTTCAATCGAAACTTCAGCCTTTTCGGCCAAAGCACAAAATTATCTTCTTTAAATACAATTATGTGGTTCAGTTCGCTTCGCTTTGATTCGAAATCTTTGATCGAAATATTGAATTGCTTCATTTTTTCTACTAAATCGAAAACAGTTATGGAGCGATTATGACAATACAGAATCCAATAAGGATTGATGATTGTTAGATTGGCTCCATACGTGCAGTCATGAGACATTGCCATCTATTATGTATGGGGAAAACTTTGTGTGCTTCCCCGGTAGAAAAAAAATATATATAATTCCCCTTTCATCCAATCGTTCAATTTAGATCAAGTGAGCTACGAACCATTTAATTTAGATCTGATCTTTAGAGTATTTTATTTTTAAATTTTTTTTACTAACTATATAAATATGAAATTTGGTACGTGCCATTACCTCAATGGGACGCACCTAAATAAAATATTAGAAAAATATTTTTGATGAAATATAATGATTAAAATACCTTTGAAACTTTTAAGGGTATTTTAGTTATTTTATTTTAGCTTTTTTTTTATATTTTTTATAAGTGCAAGTTCAAAAGAGGATTGGATGCCAAGTTTTTGGTGTCAAAATGTTTTGTATAAAAAAAATTAAAAACAAAATAGTATATAGGGTGGCATTGTGATTGGGGCTATGTAAACTATCCATGTAGCATGGACGGTTGAATAAGGGAAAGCATAGAAGTTTTATGGTATAAGAGAAACATAGAAAGCTTGCTTGTAAGGGGAGGGTGGTTGTAACTTTAAAATATCACATCAAGGCGCCCTTCTAAATTTTGATAGAACATAAATTTTCGGTGCTAAAAAAGCTTATGATAGCCAAAAAAATATTTCCATCCCTACAAAATTTAAAATTATTAATATCGTGTAGGTTAAGCAAATCTATAAATACTTAAAATTTTTGAAAATGAATGATATGTATGATGCGTTACATAACATATTACTTTTATGACTTAATTGAAAACTTGGAGAGCAACTCTTGCCTGAGTCAATTCAAATTTGAGGGATCTCTAATTTTGGATAGTCGCAAACAGATAGTTGTTGGGGCTTATCCATAATTGGGCAATTCACTACTACGATTGGGCAATTTACTACTACGAGTTTCTTTTTTCTCGTCCTTTGTCACCGTTTAGTTGAGTCACCAGGAATGCCCGTAGGTGTGGCAACGGGTCTGGATTCGAACCCGATCCAAAAATATAAAAAATATATGTTAGAATATTATGTTATATATATATATATATATATAATTTAAATATTATAATTAAAAATATATAGTTATATTTATTCCAATATTAGTTAAATATTATTAAAATACGATATATATTAAATATTATTTAAATAATATTATTATTTGGGTCGGTCTGTGCCCCGACCTGAATACTGTTCGCTTCCCCCACCTGAATAGTGTTCCATATGAGGGTAAGAACAAGTAATAAATTATTCTACTAGTTGCAATTGTAATTTAAAAAAAAATAAAATATATATCATGTAATTCAGCAGGGAAAAAATTCTTGAAAAATGAAATTCAAGATGTCAGGTGACCCACTATTATCATCACTAACCTTTTAAGCCCGTTTCTGTATTTCAAGTTTAACCTAGGAAATGTTTAGTATTTCAAGATTATCATCACTTACCCTTAAGCCTAGACTATATTTTTTGGTCTAAGTACAATGATTTCGCGTACCCTCATCATTATCCAAATTTCATCGAATAGTCACAGTTATCCGGTAGTATTTCATTTTTCATTTTTCATTTTTTTTTCTATAAATCTAAATTACTTGAGATTTGGAGCGTGTGTACATCTTAGTGAGGCACACCTAATAAATATATAAAAAAAATAATTCATAAAACATAAATTACTCAAAATACCCTCAAAATTTTACGGAGATATTTTGATCAATTTATATTTTGTGAATTATTTTTTTCATATTTTTATTAAGTGCGACTCACTAAGATGTACGCATCTCTAAATTTTAGATCATTCCGACTTGTAGAAACAAAATGAAAGATGAAACACTTTTGGATAATCGTGCCCGTGCGAAGAACTTTGGACGGTGACGAGAGTAGACGAAATCACTGTTCATTTTCGCCTATAAGCGTTTGTAGTATCTTCCATATATATATATAT